TTTTTTTTTGGCAGAACCGGGGATTGAACTCAGTCCCTTGTGCTTGCCAGGGAAGTGCTTATTCCACTGAGCCATCTCCCCGGCCTCTAAAATTCTATTTTTACATGTACAACAGACTCCAAGAACAAACTTCACTGTAGTTATAGGTGTCAAGAGCTGTTACAGCGGGGCATCCAGATATCTGAATAGGAATGGAATCCCGGGTCACCATCATTGTACACACAAGGAACAGTTTATTTTTTGTCAGATTTCTTAATGCCACCTGTGACCAGGAGCCCTTTCCCGGGCCTTTGTTTTTAGATCCTCAAGTTTCTTCTGCTCTTCCTTTTGCTTCTGTTTGCACGCTCTGTCGGCGACCTCACGCTCTACAGACCGGTGCCCAGACCGCCGCGCCAGGTCGCCGCCCTTCCTTGGCCTGTTTCTTGGGCTGCTTCAGGGACTTCTTCTTGCCACCTTCACCTTTCTTAACCATTTTCTAAACTCCTAAACCTACCTAATTTTACCAACATTCATATACTGTATGGTGCAGTATGTATTCATCTGCTAAGGAAATACATACTGTAAGCAGTGTATTTAATTTCTTTTTTTTTTTTTTTACCATTATTTAGCTTTATTCATAACCATAAACTTAACTCTGCAATCCAGGTACATTTGGAGGGGAGCAAGGAAAACATGGAACCCAAAGAACTGCAAGAAGAGCAGAGATGATGGTGCGTTTTGAGCAGGCAGGGCACAGGGTGCTCTCCTGAGCTAGAGGAATGGTCTGGTCTGGCGGTGGCAACACACACAAGTCACACGCGTTAGAGCTGCCCACAGTCGGTGATGGTGATCATCTTGCTGGTCTTGCCGTTCCTGGACCCGAAGCGCTCCATGGCCTCCACCGTGTTCATGCCCTCTTTCACCTTCCCGAAGACCAAGTGCTTGCCATCCAGCCACTCAGTCTTGGCAGTGCAGATGAAAAACGGGGACCCGTTTGTGTTTGGCCCAGCATTTGCCATGGACAAGATGCCCGGGCCTGTGTGCTTCAGGATGAAGTTCTCATCATCAAATTTCTCCCCATAGATGGACTTGCCGCCAGGGCCATTGTGGCGCGTGAAGTCACCACCCTGGCACATAAATCCTGGAATAATTCTGTGAAAGCAGGAACCCTTATAACCAAATCCTTTCT